CAGGTCATGATCCTGGAGTCCCGGGATCGAGTCCCACATCGGGCTCCCTGCTCGGCAGGGAGTCTGCTTCTCCCTCTGACCCTCCTCCCTCTCATGCTCTCTGTCTCTCATTCTCTCTGTCTCAAATAAATAAATAAAATCTTTAAAAAAAAAAATCAGTTTACTTAAAAAAAAGAAAATCTAGTCTCTACAATCTGGTAACATCGATTAGAATAAAAAGTACACATAGCATTTGACCCAGCAATACCACCCCTGGGAATCTATCCCACAAAAGCACTGGTTTGTAAGGGCTCATGGATAAGGGTATTTGTTGCAGTATTGTCTGTAATACAAAAAACTGGGGAAAAACTTTAGATAAGAACTTCCTAAACTTCAACTCTGAGTACCGTGTTCCACATATTATTAAGTATATATATATATAAGAAGGACTGTGTGTGTAAACATGCTTCAAAAACACTGATTGATATCAAGTTAAATAGGTGTGTTTATCATGGGCTTCTCAGAGCTAATAAGATGCTTATTAGGTATTATTTTCTGAAATATTTACTGAGCCAGGAGTTGTCTAGGGACGAAGAGCAATGATCAAGACGAATTCTTGCTTTCTGGGCACTTGGAGTCACCACTGAATCCGTCATTTCCAGAGTGATGAAATTCTCTCACAAGAGGAGGGCAGGGAGTTGGGGGTACAGGGAGAGTAGACAAGTCTCATTTCCTGGATAAGGCAAGGAGAGGCAGAGAACTGAAGAAGAAATGGGAATCAGCTCAGAGAAGGGGTGCACAGAGACAGCGTGCACGGGGCGGGGCGCATAGGGAAAGTGCTGACAGAGGGAGAGGTGTGGGTGTGGGACACTGAGCAAAGCCGGGCTGGAGCAGGGTGCAAGCTGCAGGAGAGTGTCGGGGGTCATGGGAGCTTGGGGGTGGAAGCCACCCCAGGAGGAGTCAGGTCTTCACTCCAAGGGCAAGCAGAGGAAGCTCAGATGTTTGAAAAACACCATTATTGAGGTATAATTTAAATACCTCAAAATCTACCCATGTAATGTGCGTGGTTTTATGAGCGCTAGTAAATCTACAGAGTTGTGCAGTCACCCCCGCAATCTAGTTTTAGCACATTCCTATCCCCACCTCCTCCCCCCACCGAGTTCCCTGTGCCCACCTGCAGTCAGTCTTCACTCCCATCTTCAGGCAACCACTGGTCTGCTCTGTGCCTCTGTCTATAGTTTTGCCTTTTCTAGGAATTTCACATAAATGGAATCATACAATGTGTTGTCTTATTGTCTGGCGGCTTTCGCTGAGCATGAGTTGCTGAATAATTTCCCATTGCCTGGATACTTTTGTTTCTCCATTTACCAGTTGAAGAACATCTGAATTCTCCCAGTTTTTGGCTATAATGAGTATTGCTGCTATAAATATTCACACCCAGGTGAGTGGACAGACATACATTCGCATCTTTTTCTGGACCGATTCTTAAGAATGGGATTTTGCTGACTGATTTTACGCATTCATGGAGGTGCAAAGTGGTATCTCATTGTGGGTCTCTCGAGACTATTGGTGCCAAGCATCTTTTCAGTGCTCAGTTATCATTCATGTATCTTCTTTGGTAAAGCGTCTTGTTTCTGGGATCCCTTGAAGGACTCACAGGGCTCAGGGGCAGCTATCCTCACGGCAGCAGCTCATTCCAGTGAAAGGACGCATGGCAGGACTAGCCAGGGGAAAAGACACATCCGGGAGAGTCTGAGGGAGTCCAGGTGAAGGCTTCCAAAGTTCTCCTCCTGTGGTGGGGGCCACACAGAACACACTTCTTCTTCCCCCAGTGAAATGCAGCAACAGCATGCAGTGTTTCTGCCCAGGGCAGTCTGAGACTCTGAATCCAAGGGTTTTATTGTGGGCTAGTGACGTAGGCCCTGTGCCTGCAAGACCAGCTATGATTTCTGAACTTCCAAGTTCCTAGGAGAGCAGGTGTTCGCTGCAAGTCGCATTGTTTGTACTAGCCTAGGCAGGCTGGGGCTGTAGGACTCCGTGCCCCAGGTAGACAAAACAGCCTTATCAGTTAGAATCGTAGGCAGTATTCCAAAAGCCAGTTTCTCAGATACCAGCCAAGGGCCAGCCTCAGGAGCAGGCCTTTCTCAACAGCCGCATCAGGCCTGCTGTGTTAACCTTCTCGTACACAGGTCTAGTTCAATCTTTGGATCATCTTTTAATCGGATTTTTAGTCTTTTTATTTTTGAATTGTTAGAGATCTTTACATAGTCTGGACATAAGTCATTTATTAGATACACATTTTGTAAATGTGTTCTTCAAGTCTGTGACTTGTCTTCCATTTTCTTAATGGTATCGTGGGAGGAGTTTGGGTAGGGAGGTATTATGATCAGGTTTGTGTGCAATCACAAAGCTGCTCTGGTTCGTAAGTGTGGGTTGGGGAGACCCATTACAGGAGTCTGGCTAAGAGATGATGGTGGTCTGGGCTGGGGGGTGTCAGGAGGGATGGAGAGAAGAGGCTGCGTGTGAGGAATGCATGGAAAGTAAGACTGACTGGATTTCACCAGAAGGAAAACCGGGCTCTCCAAACTGGCCCTCAGGACACCATATTCTTTTTGTTTTTAATACTGAAACTCTCATTAATTTGTGGGATTTCAGCATTCTGATGATTTGAGAAAGGCGGGATCCAATGAATACTAGGGTTCCTTCCAGATTTCACAGGCTCTGGTGCCATGAACAAGACTTTCTGGGGCTATTTTAACAATTCTAAAATCTTCTGAGGTGTGCGCCTACATGCATTATTATAGATTGTTTATTAGTCACACTTGTGTGTCTATAATGCTGAGCTCTGGTCCAAGAAAATAACTTCATGACTGAAATCGGGCACAGTCTGTGCATGGAGACCCTTGCCAAAAGTGAAGGCAGAAACACTGTTGGCAGACAGAGGGCAGGACAGGGATGAAGAAATTCATGTTCGTGTATTAACCCAATTACCAAACGTGCCTTGCAAGTCTGGTGCACTCTTGGTTTAAAATGTGATTTCGCATCATTCTGTCCCAAGTGACAGACCGTATTGTAAGTGAAAAATTCTTTCCTCAGGCTGGGATGCAGAGCTCCTCTTATTTGGCCAGCATCTGCTAGCACGGGAGAACCTTTATTTAAGGCTGGAAATTCTATTTACCCGGGAGGCCAAAACACTGTTTTTCTGTTCTTGCAAAATAAACAAAGCACCTTGGCACACTAGATGCAAAGAAGGCCTGAGGGAATGGAAAGGAATGTGAGATCAGGTATGCGGGGCAGTGTCAATGCAATAAATCAGGAGCACAGCCGTGATACATGTTTTCCCTTCTGATACTAAAAAAAGAAGGCTACATGAATCAATGAGACAAAGTAAGAGTCCAGAAATTGAGAGAGAGGTGTGTGTGTGTGCGTGTATGTGCTTACTTTATTATAAAGTAGGTTGTGTTGTGTTATTTTAGAAGGAGACAATGTAAAGGCTCAGCACTGGTGGGAGCCACATGATACAGCCACGAATCAGAAAGATGAGGGCATCTCCTGCAAGCCTAGTTGGGCCTGGTGTCCTGAACCTATGGGGCGGGGGGACAGGGAGATGCTGGTGTGCCAGGATGCCTACTGTGAGGGGCACACTGCAATAGTGAACCCCTTCCTTAAGGAGTTGATGATGAATCCAGCTCATCATGCTGCTCCTTTTGCCCTCTTCTGCCTCAGGGCCTTTGCATATGTTGTTTATTCTGCCCAAAAGCCCAGCTGCCTCCATCCATCCCCACGTCTTGTGAATTCATCTTTCAGGTCTCAAATCCATCCTCTCTTCCCTGCTCTCTATATTCTGTCATCAGGGAGAATCCCTGATATTTTATGGAGTCTATGCTTTGTACAATTTTGAAGTCGACTTTTCAGAAAAGGAATAAAAATCATGAATGTGAAATTAGATACCCACATGATTAGGCACCCTCCCCCACCCCGGGGTATTGGAAAGGGCCGGGCAAGAGAAGGTCTAGGGCTTCAGTTTCATTAACTTGATGGTGAACCTGGGCCTCTGGCTACAGGGCACGCTGTGTGTTGGCCTTCAGAACTCTCATCCTGGTCTGTAATCAGTTGTTTGGTCATGGGAATATTTGATTCCCCTCCCCCTTCCCACCAGACTGTAAGCTTCACGAGAGGAGAGACAGTCTATTTTATTCATCATTATATTCCTAGTGTCGTCTAGTGATTGGTACATGAGAAGTGCACAAAAAATGATTCAAATAGATGAACCCTGAATTTTGAATCACAAAAGTTATAATCACAAGACTTCTAGCTTCCACTCCTTGAGTCTCCACTTGCCAGGCTGTGGATGTCAGTATGGAGGGCACAGGACATGCTGAAGCCTCTGTAAACACACGGGAGAGAAGGCCACTCTGGAGACAGGAGTTGGGGGTGCCTCTGAGTCAAGGGCGTGGCTTCTAATTCCCACCATCAGTAGCACTGTGTCCCCCAGAATAAACACGACTTCCTGAGTGGTGGGAACACCGCTCAAACTAGTCCTTTGTAAGAGGGTAGTATTCTAAAGCTGCTGTCTGCTCAGTTGCCCTGTTGAGAAATGCAGGAACCCCTCCTCACGTACATACCCCCACCCCCAGCCATATCCTTAAACCAGTGGGTCTCAACCAGGGTGACTATTTTGTGCCCCAGGGGGCATTTGGCAAGGTCCAGGGGGCATTTTTGTTGTTATATTTAGAGGTGGTGGTGGGTACTCCTAGCACCTAATGGAGAGAGGCTGGGGATGCTGTTCAGCATCCTAATTGCACAGGGAAACCCCTCACAGGAAGGGATGATCTGGCCCAGAATGTCAATATCACTCAAGTTGAGAAACCCTGCTTCAAACCCATAGGATCCCTCACTACCCCCTTTTTCTGGACACTACAGCTGTGTTCTTTCTATACCCCATATAGAACAGTGGGAAAATGTTGCTCAGAGGGTAAGGTGGAAGATATTCACCAGAGTAAACGTGATGCAATCATATATTTCAATCATATAGTCAGCCTATTGAAAGTAAAGCTAATATTTATTGTAACAGGTACTGTTCTAGGCCCGTACATTGAATGGCTTGGGAATTTTATTAAATTGCAGATTCTGAGTCAGTAGGTCTGCATTTCTGTCCAGCTCCCGGGGGACGAAAACACTGCATCCCGCGACCGTGTTTGGGACAGCAAATTTCTTGGCACTTCGGATATATCAGCAAACAAAACAGAGACCCTCTGCCCTTGGAGAATTTCCAGTGTGGCCGGAAGTGAATTGGACCCAAAGAAGGGTGGGCAGGCTGAAGGAAGGCATTCAGAGTCTCAGGTGATCAGAGCTAGAAGCGAATTGAGAGACAATCTAGTCAAACCGCCGCATTTCAGAGTTTGAGAAACCGAGACTTGCAGTAGGGAAGGGAGCTGGTCCAAATCACACAGCTTGCTGTGGACAAGGCTGTTTGATTCCTATTCCCCTGCATTATCAAGGTTCTTAGAGACCCCTTGGGGTGTAGAGCGCAGTCAGGGTGGGGAATGGCTAGCAGCATTAGAGGTTGCAGGGGTGGGGGCCTAGGGACCCCCAGTACTCTAGCCCCAGGAAATCCTGATTGCCTACTTTACTCCTGGCTATCAGGGCACCCACAGAAACGCTGGGATATGTTTGGGGAGATAGTAGATTCTTCTGGCTGGCCCTTTGTTTTTCTGCATGACTACATCTGCAGCAAGGACGTACCAGGGTAAAAGTATGGAGAAGTACATTCTGAATGCATTCGGTCATTTGGTGAGCAGGTGTAAAGAGTAAACTCAAACAGAATTAGGCCAATTAAAACCTCTTCTTGAGGAGGAGTGGAATGACAGATCCTGAACACATGTGAAGCTCCTCTTCTCATCCTTTAGGGCCCACCTGAACAGAGCCCTCTGCCCAGAGCTTCAGATTAGAGCACTCTGCAGGGTGTTGAAAAGCAGCTGCTTCCTCCACTGCTAGTACGGGGGGCGCCTGTCAGTTGGGGGGCGCCTGGGTGGCTCAGTTGGTTAAGCGACTGCCTTCGGCTCAGGTCATGATCCTGGAGTCCCGAGATCGAGTCCCACATCAGGCTCTCTGCTCAGCAGGGAGTCTGCTTCTCCCTCTGACCCTCTTCCCTCTCATGCTCTCGGTCTCTCATTCTCTCTCTCAAATAAATAAAATCTTAAAAAAAAAAAAAATTCCTGTCAGTTGGATTGGAACAGTAGCCAGTTTCACGGGGTAGCTAAAAAGAAGAGCAACAACTATACATCAGGCATTAAAAAATATAACAAAAGGAGAAAAAAGAGACCTTTCATTAGTATTTTTTTATGTCAATTTATTATTTATCCCTTTGCCAATATTCAAACAGGCAGGCGGTCATAAAACATTCAAAAAGATCCTCTAAAACAGTCAAGGCATCTGTTTTACCTCAGTTCCTTTTTAGAAACCTGGAAATCAGGAGCCCTGGCGTTTATAAAAGAAGTGGTGTTAAAGATATCTGCCATATCAAAAATATTGTTTGAGGGTCACTCCTTAGAAAGATTTTAGTTTAAATGGTATCTACAGCTTAGGCAGGCAGACGGTGGTTCTTGAGGGAAGATTCAATGTAAATCGGCAAAGAGCGGCTTCCAAATTTCTGACTCCTCACTTAGTATTATTTTGTTGGAACAAGGCGTTGACAAAGCCCACTGTTTGGTAATTAGCGTCCTGTCAAGTCTCTCTAATCAAGACCAGCATGCTGCACCTGGTCCTAGTTAGAAAACGCGCGTGGGCAGTTCTGATCTGACCCTCAGGGGCCCTGCCTGGTGCAGAACTGCCTTCAGTGCGCATGCCCGAGTCACCGGTGACCGAATAAGGAGGGCTCTGCAGCGACAGGTTCTGAAAGCTGTCGTCCAGTTCTAGTGACCTGCCATGCCCTCTTAACTGCTTTGAGATGCAGGCACTTGCTCCTTCTCCCAAAAGAAGCTCTCTCTTCCTGGGACAGAAGACTCCTCTGAAATAAACTCATTGCCTAAAAAAAAAAAAAGCCTAAGACCTTAACTGCCCTTTGGTCAGGAGGAGCTCTGTGGCAGAGTGGCTGGCTCTCCCTAGTCTGTCTTCCCTTCATTCCTCTGGGAGCTGCTGTCTTTCCAGGAGCTGTCCCTGGTGTAGAGGTTGTGGTCCTTGATGTAGCTGATGACAGCATCTGGGAGCAAGTACTTCACGCTGTGCCCCTGGCTCAGGGCCCACCTGATGTACGTGGAGCTGAGCTCATTCTGCACGGGCTCCCTGGCCAGGTGAATGTTGTGCCGATACTTCTGCAGGATGGGCGAGCCCGAGATGTATTCCTTTGGGTTGTGACCTGTCCGGCTCACACACACCACGCCAAACTTCTCCACTATCTCCTGGATGTGCGCGTCTTTCCAGAGGTTGGGGGTCTGGAAGGTCTTCAGGACATCTGCCCCGCAGAGGAGCTTCAACTCGGGCACAGCTGGAAAAACAAGGGTGGAGCCCGACAAGGTTACAGAAGGGTCATGGCCAGTAAAGATAACATCATATTCCGTTTGAAAATTGCACAAGATGCTTTTCTGGGAATGTACTGGGAACTCAATGTCTGTGTTCATGACTGCAAAAGAAAAAGCACGTAAGTGAATCTGAAGCTACTTCAGGGACATACAGTGGTAAGTAACAATTTAATCAAGAAATCTTTTGTTTAATATTGGCAAAGTGCCAAGAAACACACACCAGCTTGGGGTTTTTTTGTTTGTTTTTCTCCAGTATTATACCAAAGTCTGTCTGCGGTGGCTGGACCCCCTGGCGGAGTGGTCCAAAGGCGGCTGTGAACCCCATCTTCTGATAGAAGGTGAAGTTGTAAAATCCCTAGTACCAGCAAGCTGTGGGCCTCAGGCAAGTCACCGCCTTTCTCACAATCTATTTCAGCCCTAACACCTGGTTCTTCTATAAGTAAAATCTCAGCATAAAGGTTCTTTGGATAATCAACAGCTAGTGACCTTTTCATCCGTTTTCAATATAACAAAGCTCTAGAACAACTGATCAATGTGGATAATCCTTTGGCATTTGTTCTAACAGGACGATGGTTGTGATGATAAAAGGATGCCTAACGTTTACTGGGAGCTCAGTGTGAGCAACATCGCTAAGCGCTTTATGGGTTTAATCTCATTTGATCCTCAGAACAATTTCATGAGGTAGGCGTTACTGTTGTGCGGGGTCTGCGGAGCGGTGCGCGGAGCGGGAAATCTGCCTAAGGTCACTGTCTAGGAGGAGGAGGCAGGATTCAAGCCGGCCAGCCAGCCACCGGGTGGGGTATTTGTAACTGCTGGGCTCTGCCGCCTCCTGCTGGCGGGGAATTGTATATGCACCAGAGCCCAGAAGCCCTTCCGGGATTTTCCTGGCACTCTTCAAGGTCCTGTCCCTTTGGAATGGGCTAATCTGGAAAGGAGAAAAAGCAAGTCCATGCTAGAAGCAGCCACTAGGATCTCCGGTCCTTCTGGATGCCGAGTCTAGTTCCAGTAAATGGCAAAGGCTGTGTTCCTACAGCGCTGGCAGCTCTCAGTCACCTTGAAACCTCAGCTGGGCGGGGTTTCAGGGATACCAGCGCTGGGGAAAGAGCTGATGTAAATGGGCAGTGGAGGCTCCTCTTCTGTGGAAACTTGGAAGGAATCTGGACGTGGATCAGAGAGATGAGTTTATAAAGGAGCACCAGACCGGCTGTGGAATGGAAAGTGAGAAACTGGAGGGGTCATGGGGAGGTCTGAATTCAGCCTCAGTCTGGCATGGGCTGCTGTGGGCTGATCCATCCTTCTCTGGGCCTCAGTTTCCCCACCCATGAGACAGTGGGCGCTGGACTTGGTTACTGATTTTTGAAGCAGCAGATGAAATTACAGAAACAGACTTTTCAAACACTCCAGCCGCATAATATTGGTATAATGAAATGATATCCAAACACTGATGCATGTATTCATTCATGAATTGTCCATGGTTAAGAACTAGGACTTTAAAGCCAGACACCTCAGATTCAAATCCTGGCTCTGCCATTCAACAGCTGTGTGACCTCAACTTTAAAATGAGCATATTAACCGTACTTATCTCCTAGGATTATTTTATTTATTTATTTATTTTTAAAGATTATTTATTTATTTATTTGAGAGAGAGAGAATGAGATGAGAACACATGAGAGGGGATAGGGTCAGAGGGCAAAGCAGACTCCCTGCCGAGCAGGGAGCCCGATGCGGGACTCGATCCAGGGACTCCAGGATCATGACCTGAGCCGAAGGCAGTCGCTTAACCAACTGAGCCACCCAGGCGCCCTCCTAGGATTATTTTATAATTGAATGAGCTTAGGGCGCCTGGGTGGCTCAGTCGCTTAACCAACTGAGCCACCCAGGCGCCCTCCTAGGATTATTTTATAATTGAATGAGCTTAGGGCGCCTGGGTGGCTCAGTCGCTTAACCAACTGAGCCACCCAGGCGCCCTCCTAGGATTATTTTATAATTGAATGAGCTTAGGGCGCCTGGGTGGCTCAGTTGGTTAAGCGACTGCCTTCGGCTCAGGTCATGATCCTGGAGTCCCTGGATCGAGTTCCGCGTCGGGCTCCCTGCTCTGCAGGGAGTCTGCTTTGCCCTCTGACCCTATCCCCTCTCATGCTCCCTCTATCTCATTCTCTCTCTCAAATAAATAAATAAATAAAACCTTAAAAAAAAATAATTGAGCTTATAAGTATAAAGTACTTAGATCAGTGCTCGGAACAGAGTAAGTGTGATAGGTGTTAACTACCATCCATTCATCCATCCATCCACCCATCCACTAACCCATTCATTGACACATCTATTCAACACTTAGGGAGTATTTTTAAAGTCAATAAAACTGCGTTTAAAAATTATTCAATAACTCACACTTTTCACTACTTTGGGCTGGTCCCATTGCTCACAACGTACGTGGATTTGGACTGTTTTGCATCTGTAAGGTTCTACTCCAGTATCTTATTTATTCAACCATTGTAATTTAGCAAGAAACCAGCTTTTGACCTTTTAAACTAATGGATGATTTTTATGTGCTCCTCCTATGGGGGAGGTTAAACAATGGGCATTTAATTGTAGGGTCTCCTGAGGCCTGGAGCACACCCTCCTCCCACGCCCATGGTCAAAGAACAGAAGATACCCTCCTCCTCTCTCAGTTGATTTTTGTGCAGGCAGTTTCCACACAATGGCTTCAATATTAGACACTGTTTGATTTATTAACAGTGACAGGAATATAATTCACCGTGAGCTCTTGCCTACAGGGGCCAAGTGCTCACACCTTCCCATCCCCCAAATCAAAGGCATGTCTGTGGGGGTAATGACTTCTGGGAACACGTGCCTTAGACTCCCACTCTGGGCAGTCCTCAGAGACCATTACATAGCTCTTTCAAATCCATTCACATCACTGCTACAAACTCTTCACACTGGGTACTGACTGTCCAAGTACGTAAGTCTGAGGTGTTGAATAAAGGCTGCCGATTTGATTCGTCTTAACCACGATGTAGTGACCTACATCAGATATCCGTGGGCATTTTGGGGGACAGTGTGCTTTCTTGGAATAGCCACAGGCTTTAAAAGCAGAGATTTACATGGAAAGTGAGGGAAGTGCCACCGGGACCTTTTTCTTTGGATGTCCAGTTACCCTAACTCTTTATATCAAGAACACCCAGCCCTGTGGTCAGTCAGCCCTGGGTTCCAGTTTCAGAGCTGCTGGAAGCCTGGCAGGGTTCTAGCAGCCGGGCTGGCTTCCTCTGCTATAAAATGGGGATGACCTCCTGTGGAAGTTCTGGAAATTGAGTGACAGACTGAATGCAATGTGAATTTGTGGCCATGAAGACACACTCAGGAGTGTGAGACTTCTGGGTGAACAGGACACCAGAGCTGAAGCCAGGTATTAAAGGGAGGCCCCCAATTTAACCAGACAAGGCTACCGTGGAACAGATCAGTGCAAGATGGAATCGGGGGGGGGGGGGCTGTGCTTGCTCTGGTTGTGTGGAAAGGGAATCCTCGGAAGGCTGCTGAGCCGTGCTCAGCCTCATCAGCTAAGGGCAGGGACCACCCGCACAAAAGACACACACTGTCGGGCTGTTAGAGGACCGACCGAGGCATCATCCATCCCAAAGTGTCACACCCAAGCAGCCCAGAACTGGGCTGTCTGCATGACTGGGTCAGTCCAAGGAGGACCGAAAATCACAGGAGTGATGGGCAAAGCCGGGCTCTGACTGCCAGAACATGCTGAGCTCAGCCCGTTATCTGCAGTCCCAGAGGAGACGAGCGCGCAATGAAATACACAGCACACAAAAAGGTCCTTTACAAATACGTCACTGTAACATACAAGCCACCTGGTCAGAAGCCAGATTTATGCTGAGGAAGAACTCCACCTTCCTCTTAATTGCTCTAGTGTTATTTTTTTCTCGGATTACAAACGTGAAATCTGTGTCAATTATAAAATGTATGGAAAATACATATTTAAGGTAGAAAACAATTCTGCTTTCTACAAAAAATATTTTCATGTATTTTGTTTTCTATTGATTTAGACATGCAAATAGATGTGCAAGTATATTTACATTTTTTTAATATACTTTACATTATATACACAGGATCATATCCTGATTTTCTTCTACTTATCTCATAAGGCTTTCTCCAAAAACCTTTTGTCTCAATTATTCATACTATGTATACAGAATAATTTACTTAAACATTCCCTTATACTTAAACATGGAGGTTGCTTTTATTTTCTGCTTAAAAACTGCTGTGATAGGGGTGCCTGGGTGGCTCAGTCGTTAGGCGTCTGCCTTCGGCTCAGGTCATGATCCCGGGGTCCTGGGATCGAGCCCCGCGTTGGGCTCTCCGCTCGGCGAGAGGCCTGCTTCTCCCTCTCCCACTCCCCCTGCTTGTGTTCCCTTTCTCGCTGTGTCTCTCTCTGTCAAATGAATAAATAAAATCTTTAAAAAAAAAACCAAACTGCTGTGATAAGCATCTTTCTACATAAATCTTTGTCCCAATTTCTAATTATTTCCACAGTCTGATTCCTAGAAGGGAAATATATCAAGCAAAGGACATGAGCATTTTTAAAGCCCCTAATGTATTTTGGTAAATTGAAAAGCCCACTTTTCATTCAACATAAACTCTATTTTAACAGCTACTTTAGGAGAGAACAAGATGAGCAGGACTCAGGGTCTGAATAGCAAGAAAGGGGATAAAGAACAAACTCCCAACATTATAGGGCCAAGCAGAGTAGCCCCTAGAAAGATAAATTTGAAAAGAATGTGGGTGAGCTTTGGCCAAGGGCGGGGAAGAGCCCATCTCCGTGAAAGTAGCTGTTACTAGTTTCACAGGAAGATGGGTCCAACGTGGGCCTAATAGGACAGATAGGTTTTCAAAAGGGGAGTCAAAGGGAAGGGGGAGGAGGGACATCTAGGCAGAGCTGAGGCAGGGATTCTGGAAGCAGGTGCAGAGAGGGGAAGTATGAGAGGCTGGAAGCCTCTGTGTGGCATCCCTCCCACATCACTAGAGGCTCCCTGCCTGTCACTGGAAGCTCCAGCATTCCCCAGCAGCAAGGAATGCCCAGTACCTATGTGGTTTCCTGCCTTTGTGCCTTGCCCAGCTGCCCCTCTGCCCAGAAATTGCCCCTAATCCCAGATAAGGTACTCTGATCCTATGAGTCTTGGTACTAGTGTCTCCTCCTCCAGGCAGTCTTCCTAATCCATGCCTGGACTCCCCACCATTCACAGCCTGCCTCTAGCCTTAGGTCGGGGGCCGGGGGAGGGGGGCGGGGGCAGGCTATCTTTGTTTTCCGCCTGAGTCCAGAGCCCGGCCTGGGGAGGTGATCATAGGTGTCTCTTAACTCTGTAGGAGTAGTTGCTGAGCCAGAGATGCTCCAGAAAGAAGGCAGAGGCTGAGAATGAACGCTGCCTGTGCTCATGACTGGGAGACGGGGGAAGAGAGGCAGACAGACCAGAGGAATACACTGAACATTGTAAAGCTGATTATATAAGAGATGCTGTAACTCCTCCTTTCTTAGATTCCTACTCTAGTGCAGTCCCCGCAACTGGCTAGAAAGCAAATCCCAGCGTGCCTGTTAAATATCCAGAGTCCCAGGCCCCATTCCCACTTTGAAGGTGTGGGGTGTTGCCTGGGAATTATTATACACCTTACAGGTGATTCTGCCATGAGTGATCCTTTGACCAGCATTTGGGGACTGCTGCATGAAACCTTTAGGGCCTGGTGGCATTTTCGAGTTCTTTTAGAAGAGCGTCTGTGTTCTGGGGGGGTGGGTGGGGGGGTGGGAGACTGTGTTCTAGGGGGCACCAATATGTGTTGAAAAGGGTCCCATGATTAAAAAGTGATAATGGCCACAAGCTAGTTCCCTTTCTTGGAGAGTCACAATGTACATGATCATAGTAAAGGCTCTGAAAAGTCCTGCAGGAAAGGAACCATTTTAGGTTGGTTTACCTGTGACATTCCTGAGCCCTTCTGATCTGGAACTGGTATCCCATCACCCACAGTTGGGAGACCGGCAGTAGGAAACCCCACAGATGGGCCTGCTGGATTTCAGCCAGGCGGGACCAGTGATTCTCAGACCATGTCACATCCTGCCCTTGCATCACCAGGGGCTCCTGCTAATTGGCATGAGGGGCCTGTGCACTTGACCCCTAGTACCAGGGCTGCCATTAGAGACGGAAGATACTTCGAAGCCACAACTTATAAGATTCTACCAATACCAGGAGTTGACAACAGGGTAGAAACCCAGGGTTACAAATTGAAAGGACATTCCATATGGAATGAAATTCCCCTAAAAAGAGGTTTCTGTTTGAGGGTCAGAGTGGCATATTTGTACTCAGAAAGGCTCAGGCTTTTAAAAGAACCCAGCATCACTCACCAGTTTATCCTTGTGTAGCCCTGACTGTAATCCCCGTCACAAGCACAAGTCACAAGGGTAGGTAAACCCCTTTGGAGCAGAAAATCCTAAATTAGCAACCCGATTTACAAGGGATGGTGGCGGATTGTTGAATATGACCTTTCAACCTGGGAAGTGCCACCACCCCCAGGCAGGCCTCAGAATCCTTATCCATGCTTGGGAGTGGGTCCGGTGAATCCTTGACCTTTCCCCCTCCCAGGGACAAAAGGGTCCGCACCCACCTGTGGGGGCCACGGAGCGAGCCCTGCCGTGGTCCTGGCCTTCCGTCTGGGGCAGAGATCTGAGCAGTTCATTGTGATGATGCCTGCATTGCAAACACACGGGCTCAGGGTGTGTCCGTCCCCCCCAAAGCCACCCAGGGGTCTCAGTTTTCAACTCTCCACCTGCTTTTGACCATTTTAGGTAGGTAGCTTGTTCCACAAATGTTTGTGGGGGGCCTACTATGTGCTGGGGGCTGGGATGGAAAGCGGATGCGATAGGGTCCTCTTGGCCACCCACTGCCTTCTGTGAGCCCGGGTGGAAGGGGGAAATGAGCATAGTTTTACTTTTTTAACATTTGTCTTTTAATACCTCACTTAAAAAAAAGTTGAGTAGAGATTAAGGACATGGGCTATGAGAATCAGACAGACCTGAGTTCAAAATAAAACCTTTCTTTTGTAAAGCCAGGATAACGCCTACCTTAGGTGAGTGAGCTACTACACAGTGCGTGGCCCACAGCTCACTAGTATTTCAGGACTCCACGGCTTGGAGAGTCTGGCTTGGAGCCAGGCTGCCTGGGCTGAATCCTGGCTCCCCCACAGGCCAGCTGGGTGACCCCGGGGTGGGAGGAGGGGGGCAGTCAACAGGTCTCTGTGCAGATGGTTCAGCACCTGCATCATGAGGAATAGTGATCGTGCGTGCCTCTCAGAGAGGTCACGAGGACTGAAGGAGTTTGTATGCAAAGTGCACTGAACAGTGGGCAGGACGGAGCAAGTCTCATTTGGTGTTAGCATTTCAGATCTGGTTAGACTTACACCATCTCCGCCTAGCTCTTTTAGCAATCAGTGTGCAAATCAAGACATACCTGATCCAACACAGATAGTCACGTCTTGTATCAATGCAATCTTCCACCTTCCACCTACTGAATTGTACATTTACAAGAGCTGTGTTTGGGAGAAGGCAGTGCCTGGTAGGAAAAGCAGGTGCTTTGCAGCTAGACTCGGTGGGTTTGAGTTTAGGTTTTCTTGGCTGTATGACCTTGGATAAGTCACTGACACTTTCAGAGGTTCACTGACCTCATCTGTTTATTGGTCATCGTGGAAGCTAATGCCGACCTCCCTGCCGAGCATCGCCAGACCGTGAAAGTGCTTCTATCCTGCCAAATGCTGTGGCCCAGTGCTGATTATCACCGGGCAAAGGCACAGTGTAAAGGTTAAGCTTTAGAATTAGACTGCATGGTTGGAATTCTGCTTCCAACTAGTAGCTGTGGAATCTTGGTGGGCTCCTTAAGTAATCTGCCTCCAGTTTCCTCATCTGTAGAATGGGGGATGATGACTGCACCGACCCCTTGAGCACTGAGGATTCATGGAGAGGCTTAGCACTGGCCCATCCACAGAAAGGGCCCAATCAATATTAGCTGTTCTTCTGTGAACTGTGAGCTTGTTTAATTCATCCTTATATTCTTAGTCCTGAGGAACTGCTTACCTTAAGTCAGCTGAATTCAGGAACAATGGAAGGAGTGGACGGATAAATACATTTAAGTCTGGTCCAAAGTCCTTCCTGATGATCTCAGAGACTCAGTCGAGTCTTCTTAGGACCTAGCTGGACTCTGTGTTTCCATTATTGTCTGCTTTGGTTTTGGTAAGCTTCAAGTCTGAGGATTCGCTCCTGAGTTAGTCTGGAATCTCGCATCAGACTGAAGTAGGTGTGAGTCTCACCTCTTACTTTCTAACTGTAGGACTCTGCGGATGTTACTGACCCTTTCAGAGCCTCCATTTCCCCATCTGTAAAATGGGACTAAACCCACCTACTTCTCAGAGTTGCTGAGGTAACTAGATGTTACCTACCTGAAAAAGCCTGGCACAAACAGGTGATCAGTAAAGGTGGTGACTGTCATTTTATTTTACTTACCTTGAAGCTCCTACTTCAAGTTGACCCTACTTTGAATATTAGCTGGCTCTCTGAACTCTGATGTATGAATAATTATTTTCCTCACTGACCTCCACTCGGCCTCTGTGGGGCAGTGGCCATGGCTTCCTCTTGTTGTCTGCCTGAGTGGTGCCCCGGTGTGCCTAGGAGCCCTGGGCCTGAGGGCTGACCCTGGGAATGAGTTCTCTCGTCCTCCGCAGCCCCACAGGTCTCCAGGGATGCCTGGTCAAAGGGTCACTGTGGCAGGAACAAAGTCAGCCCCACTGTGCCCGCCCCCCCGTGGATCACTGGTTTGAAAAGGACCATAAACACGGCTTCAGAGTCAGACCTGGCTCTACCACTCACTTATTTGTTTTGTGACTTTGATGAACTTAGCCTCTCCGAACCTGTTTCTTCATCTGTAAAAGGAGGACAGCATAAGATCATGCTTGCAAAGGGGGACGGGACAAGACAGATGTGATGGTGATGACGACGGACCACATCAAATGGCGTTGTGACTAATGACCTCCCCCCACAGCGTGGGGAGAAGGTGAGCAACATAAGTTATCAAATGTCCTAAAAGCATGAAGCTGGCCTAGATTCAAAAAAAAAAATTAGAGTAAAAGTAAGCAACTAATAAGGAGAAAAAGAATCCTCAGTGAGCCCTACTGTGAATTTACTTCATAGTGACATTTATCATAGTGACATTGTCTCTATCAGGAAGATATTAAATGGAGCAAAGGGGGGAGTGGATTACTCCCATGCTTCTAAAATCACCTAACTTTACAATTATCAGATTTTCAATCTTAAATGCTTTTGGCAATTTTAGGAAAACATTAGCAATCAAATTTTCTAATTTTTTCTAAATACTGAAAAAATGGAATCACTTATCTGGCAAAACTGTGTTGTCTTTTTGTATAATCAGTGGATTTTCAACCTTGGCTGCACAAAATAAATCATTTGGAAACCTTTAAAAAAATACCCATGCCTAGACCCCACCCGCAAATCATAATCTCTGAGGGCAGGTGGCGGGGGTGGCGGGGGAGGGAGATGAGCATTTTAAAAGAGCTTCCCATGTGATTCCTACAGCCAGGGCCCACTGGTTTGGATGCATCTTGGTACTAATCATAAACCTGATTCACATACTTTGTGACTGAGGCTGTGGCCTCAATCCCGGCCACGCATTAGAATCACCAGGAGGCCCTTAAAAATTCTGATGCCCCACTCCAGACCAATGACATCCCAGTCTCTGGGATGAGACTCAGGCTTCGGTACTTTTGAAAGCTCCCTAGGTGATTCAGGGTGCAGCCAAGGCTGAGAAGCACTGAACTAAAGCATAGAGGAAAAAAAGAAAAAAAGTGTTCAGTAAAATCTTAGCTCACACCTTCATTTTGCAACAGAAGCAGTGACAATATTATGTAGTTCTGTGGTCGGTTCCTTTTTATCCAGGAATGGCTTATCTGTTTTGAGGATAAATTACGGGCCAGTGTTAGGGATGAAGGGAAGGTAGCTAAGGTTATGAAGCCCCTACCATAAGCCAGGTATTTTGCCCACATCATCCCATTTAATTCAGGCAGTACCTCAGATTAGTAGGTGGTGTCATCCTCGTTTTATTAAGTGAGGAACTGAGGCTCAGAGAGGCTAACTCACTTACATCAAGTCACTGAGCTAGTAAACTGGGCCACACTGCCTCTCACAGGGTGGAGGAGGAAAACGTCTTTGTGACTACATACTAAAGCTAAATGATTTGCTGGATTTGTGTGTCTTCCCCTCTGCTATCCTTGATAGATGAGGGCTGGCTATATTGCTCGTTCTGAAGGGATGATCTAGGTGTAAATCTATTCTTTATATTTAAAAAAAGTGCATGTATTCTAACAATCATTTCATATTTGCTCTTCTTAATTTGGCGAGAGGCTCTGAAGTAGCACTGAATTGCTGAATGCTTCTAGCTGGTTCTTTCCCAAGAAAAAGGCAAATAATCAGAGCCAAGATATGTAACTAAATGTTTACCTTTACTATGAGAAAAAGGTAAACAGTTTTCAACCAAGTGACTGGGAAGATGAGTAAAAAATGAAAACCTAAATCGATTTATGATGAACAGGCCTGCCAATTATTGGACCTTGTCCCTTGGGTTTCCTGTGCCCTGACAGTCCTACTGCTTCCAAATAGATAAAAGACACAAGCCCCAAGTTTGCAATCCCTTCAGCGGAATAGGCCCGAAGTTAGTGACAGGCAGCCCCACCTCCCCGTCCCCTCTGACCTCCAGGCTGGGCGGGGCTTCCTGCTTCTCCAGCAAACTCCCAGGACCCTTTCCCAGACACAAGTCAGTGACCCACTGCCCCAACATGCAGGGCTCCCAGGGCTTTTAAAAGCCAATTACTTCTCCTGGGTGCTAACAGCAGTTCCAAAAGAAAAAGATCCTGAGCAACTTTCTAGATGTATAGCCTTTTTTTTTTTTTTTCAATTTTACATAAAAGTTGAGATTTATAGAGCCCAGGATTTGTACAATTAGAAAAGATGGCTTATGATGTAGATGCAGTTTTCAACCTAGTCAATGATGTCAATGATAGAAGGTCCCACTTAGTGAATGTCTTAGGAGTTCTAGGACAGGAAAGTTCTTTACATTTAAAAAGTCCTCATTAGGTTTTATTGTCCCCATTTTGCAAGTGAGAAATGTGTCTCAGAGAAGTACGTGCCTAGTCTCACAGCTACTAGGTGGTCACCCTGGAGCCCAAGGAGACAGCCCTCTGAAACAAGATGGGCGTTTCGAAAGTGCTTCCCGAAGGGCAGTGGGTTGTGATTGTTTTCACTCAGGCCCTCTTTGAGAGTAGGTCTGTGGGTCTCTCTCCATCTGAGAGGAAGCACTTCTGGGATTTTGGCTGAGAAAGCCTGGCTGAAGCCCCACTTCATACCTGGTCCCTACTTTCACCCACTGGGCTCTGCAGATGTGTCCCGTGGGCCCTGGTCATCACACAAAAGCATGCCCACTGTACCTCAGCACCTTCACTGTCTCCATCCACTGCACCTGCTCACTCTCCCAGGGGTCCACCCGGACCCAGTCGGACGTCTGCAGGGCCAGCCGGGCCATGGCCACCCGGTGGTGGGCAGCCACGAGGTCTTGCTTCCTGTAGTTGTCGTTGACAGGAGAGATGATACCCCCGATCACCTGGTACATTCCTAGGCAAGGGAGAGCAGTGGTGTGTGGTATGTGCCAACACTGAGTACCTGGCCACCTGAATTCAGGCAGGTGCGGAACTCTCTGGGCCTCATCCTGAGTGGGAGCAGACTTGGGCATTCTCTCCTGCTGGGCCAGCTCCCTCAGGCAAGGGTAAATGCTGCCCCAGGGACCATGTGCTTCTCCAGTTGACCCCGAGTCATACTTTTCCTGAGAGCAAAGCTGTGAGGATGTGGCCAGACAAGGTGCCCAGATAGCAGTGTGGACAGTTAGGGTCAGAATATGGTGGAGGCACATCATGACCTCCTCCTGCACAGGACTTAACAGTGGCACTATCATCCTCTAGTCATGTATGGGACAACAGTGACGTGCAGTTTCTTATGCCCAAATAGGGGGTCTTGTGAATCAAAGATGAAGGGATGGGATGGAGCATGGACCAGGTAGGTGGGAGGTGGGAAGGAGATGGGAAGTGGTGGGTCTAGGAGGAATGGGAAGGCCAACGTTGGGAAAGATGTGGGTTGTGCTGGTAAGTGATGTGGTATGGCTCAGGGACTGGAGAATGGAATACTTTAATTCAGAGCTATAGTGACACCGTGGAAGCTACAGAGAAACAACATGGAAAGAGTCTGAACAGGACCCCAAAAGCCTTGGGTAGGGGGCTCCAGCTCCATCACTCCCTAGTGCACCCTCAGCAATTACCAACCTATCTGGAAAAATAAAATAGTCATTTGCACTTCAGTTTTCCTGTATGTGAAATGGGATCATACCTGCTTGGCAGGACCTTGTGCTAAGGAGAGAGATTAGGGAATCCTTATGTAGTGGGATGATATTTTATTTAGGATGTGATATATTTTTTAAAATTGTATTATAAATATAACATGCACATAAAAGAACCCAAAACACATACGGGTTGACAGAGTTATAAAGTATATCCTGCTTTCATCATCACCTAGCTTAAGATACAAGCACTTCGGGCACACCAGATGTTCCTACCACAAGCCTCACTCGGACTTTTATAATATTCATTCTCTTTCCTTTATAGCTTTACCATGTATTTATGTAGCCTAAAAAACAGATTCATTTGCCTTCTGAAACTTTTATAAATGGAATCAGACTGAATATATTCTTTTGTTCAGCCTTTTTCACTTTACATAAATAAAATTCATGTAATCCAACCAGTTTTATTGCTGCATAACCTTCCATTGCAAGATTATATACTAAATAATTGATCTCTTTTACTGTTGATGGACTTGGTTTGAGTCTGGTTTTGGACAATTACAAACTGCGCTGCTATGGACAGCCTTCTGTAAGTCTCCTGTGCTCGCACACACCGGCATGCATTTCTTAGGACACACATCCAAGACAGGACCTGCTGAGTCATAGGGCAGGTGTGTCTGCACCTTTACTAGATAATGCCGGACCGTTTTCCAAAATGGTTGCAGCTCTTTACCCTCCAACCAGCCGTGTAGGAGAGTTTTATTTGCTCCAGGCCATGCCACACGAGGTTATGGTCAGGGTCTTCTCAATCTGAGAGATGTGAAATTATATCTCATTGTTGTTTTAAAGTTCATTTTCCTGCTTACTAGTGAGGCTGAGCATTTATTCATATATATTATTAAGCATTCAGGCTTAAATTTTTTGTGAAGTGCCTGTTCAAATCTTTTCCCCATATTTTGGGTTGTCTGCTTTTTTATCATTGATTCGTAGAGTTCCTTACATATTCTACATGCTAGCCTTTTGTTGGTTGGTTCTATGAGTCATAAATACCCTCTTGTTTTATGGCTTGCCTTATTCTTTTTTTATGGAATCCTTTGAAAATGGAAAAAAAAAAAGGAAAACGAAACTTCTTAATTTTAATGTAGTTGGGTTGGGTTGTTAGTTTTTTCCTTTACGGCCAGTGAATTTTGTGTTATGAAGACATCTTCCTACATTATCTCATAAAAGGTTTATAGTTTTGTTTTTTCACATTTGGGTCTTTGTGCACGATGTGAATCCTATTAAGTTATTTTTCATTTGGATAGTCAATTATTCCAGCAATGTTTGCCAAAAAGCCCCCGTCCACCCTGCTGCTATGCTCTGCCACCCGTGTGTCGAACGTCAAGTGTTCACCTGTTTAAGGGGCCTGCTTCTCTGCTGTTCTGTTCTTTGCTCTATTTGCCTGGCCCTGTGCAACTTCACACTGCTTGGCTCAATATAGCTTTATTACACATCTTGATATCTGGTTAAGCAAATCCTCCCACCTGGCTCTTCTTCAAGAGTGTCCTGGCAATTCTTGACTTTTTGTATTTTCCATATAAATTTTATTTATTTATTTTATTTTTTATTTATTTATTTTTTTTAAAGATTTTATTTATTTATTCATGAGAGACAGAGAGAGACAGAAGCAGAGGGAGAAGCAGGCTCCCCGCGGAGCAGGGAGCCCGATGCGGGACTCGATCCCAGCACCCTGGGATCATGACCTGAGCCGAAGGCAGACGCTTAACCGACTGAGCCACCCAGGCGTCCCTCCATATAAATTTTAGAATGAGTTTGTCAAATTCCACAAATGAAACACCTCTCCTTGCCCCTGCCCCACCCCCCAAAAAACCTGCTGAAATTCGGATAGGAATTGAACTGAATTTGTAATTTAATTTATGGAGAACTCATGTCTTTACAATTTTTAGCCTTCCAATCCACAAGCATGGTATATCTTTCCATTTGTTTAGATCTTCTTCAATATTCCTAAATAAAGTTTTATAGTTTTCTTATAGAGAGCCTAAACATCTTTTCTAAGACTTATTCCCATTCCTCCTATAAGTGGCATTATTTAAAAAATACTTTTTATCCTGTTTGTTGCTAATATATAGAGATATGATTTAGGCACCCTGGATGCATATCTAGTAACCTTGCTAAACTCTCTTATTCTAGTATCTGTAGTCTTTTGAATCTTCTGTGTCCAAAATATACCATCTGAAAATACTGACAAATTTGCTGTATTTTCAGTCCCTCTGCCTTTTATTTGTTTTTCTTGTTGCACCACTGAAGACCTCTAGCATGATGCCGAATAGAGGTGGTGTTAGCGGGCCTCCTGGCCTTATTGCAACTATCAGAGGAAAAGCTCGAGTGTCACTAGTACATACGATGTCTGCTGCAAGTTTTCTGTAGCTAGCCTTTGGCAGTTGTTGGAGAGACTATGCCCTGTGTCCATTAAAACTCCCCCCCCCCCCCCCCCGCTTTCTGGGCACACTGGAAGCTAATATATCTGTTCTTCTTGAAATTAGGTTTTTGTGATCTCACTGAGCTGTAGTCAACGGGATGTGGGTGAAAGTGATGTATGGCCCATCTAGACTTGGCCATAAAAACTCTCGCTGACCCTCCTACTCTTCTATAGTGAGTCTGAAAGCTATAATTAAGGAGGCAAAGCCATGGGTGGGGCCTACTAGGATTCCTGAGACACAGCTGGGCAGGGAATTGCCCTGTAGCTCTTCAGGATCTACATGGGGTTTATCTGATGAGAGAGAAATGTTCTTTAATGTGCTAAGCTCTTAAAATTTGGGCATTTGTTATGGTAGACTAACCTGGTCTATCCTGACAAATGGGTTACTTGAAGACACATTCCCGGCTATTCCCCATTTAAGAGCTTTTGTCATAAAGGAATTCAAACGTTTTCTCTGCCAACTCTTGAAATGACGGTGTGATTTTTATGTGATTTTTGACTACTTGCGGGTCAAGGCCCCTGACTAATCATTTGTTGAGGGGCTCCCCCGGGCATCAGATAGATATGCCCTCCTCCGGAGAAGCTTCATGTTTCTGTTTCCCAGGTCCCTGGAGTTATTAAAAGTCATGGATGACCTTAAATGAAGTTGTCGACTTAAGCTTCTTTGACTAATTCAGGCAAGGGGCTGCAAATCTGAGCAAAGGCTGATGTGTGGCCATTTCTTCCTATTGGTATTTCATCCTTGCCTTTTTCTTCTTCGGCTTGCCATAGTACCAAGCCTTTGACTTGTTTCTTTGTTGGCTTGTATGGCCACTGATTCAAAGCTTAAGTGAGCAGTACTGGCAAGTGCCCACGGGGCCATCAGTGGTTCTGATGTTCTAAGAGCCTGCTTACTTACCTCCCTAGTTACAGATGTTTGTCTCTCAGCTGGTCTGAGACATCCCCACTTTTTGGCTTTAACAGTGAGATCTGAAAAATGTTCTACCTACCATTTATTTTTGTTTTTAGTGGGAGAGTTGATCCCAGGAAGGCAGCCTGACACCACCCCCCTCCCCAACATACCCACACCTGCCCGGAAGCTGAGAGTTCTCGGATGCATTTTTCCAGTCCTGGTAAACCTGGCTGCCTTGGGCCCCTCCCTCCTGGAGGTGGAGTCATCCACTGTACCAGGGGGATGACAGAACTAGCTGAGAGTAAGGAAAGAACATTCATCTTTCAACTTCCAGAAACCGGTTCCTAAAATTCATTTCAGAGGAATACTGGTGAAGGTTAGAATCAGGGTTCGTTCAGAAAGATTTATCTAAGTTTTAAAAGTCACCCTAACAAATACCAAGAATCAGAGTCTAGGGAGTGAGAGCACACAGTTTTACTAAAATCCACAGAGTAGGGCGCCTGGGTGGCTCAGTTGGTTAAGCGACTGCCTTCGGCTCAGGTCATGATTCTGGAGTCCCGGGATCGAGTCCCACATCAGGCTCCCTGCTCAGCAGGGAGTCTGCTTCTCTCTCTAACCCTCCTCCCTCTCATGCTGTCTCTCATTCTCTCTCTCTCAAATAAATAAATAAATAAAATCTTTTAAAAAAAAAATCCACAGAGTAGTAAGGAGAGAATATGAAAGTGGAAAGGAAAAGCCCCTCTGGGAGCTGGGCTGGGGTGGGTGGAGGAATGAGCAGCAGGCATCAGGAAGAAGCTGGTAGGAAAGGTTTGTGGTGACCAAGCGTTTAGACCCAAGTCGAGACCTGCTCCCTACACCCTCTTACCCTTTGGAGACAAAGCCTCGTGTTGTGTTGGGTGAGGGAGGGCAGAGTT